GATGTGTGGTGGTAGCACGTGCAGCAGCTTGAGTGAAACTCGGGTTGAACTCCCGCTGGATGTCGAATGTTTTGCATACCACTCAACATCTCAGGCAATCACAAATCGGTTGTAGGTAATATGTCTTGGTAAGATGATGTAAGACGGATCATAAAAGTAATCTTATCTCAAGACTGGGAGCAATATTTTCAAGCCTATCGTATTCGCGCTTGAACACTTAGAGTTCAACTTGAGTGGAACATGACATATATGACGGCAATTGAAACGGTGTGAGCTTCTATCACTCATTGTCATTGTAATTGTGTGCTTTTTCGCATAAAATTTTTTGCTGCACTTTTGGAGATTAATCACTAGCTTATCATCTAAGTCTGGCCACTATGCTTGACATTGCATTTGAAAGGCTGCTCTGTATGTTTAATAATTTGTGAAAAAACCCGCTGTCTGGACGGCTTCATACCGCCGACGAGGGGGTTTGACTGATTAAAAGAACGGACACTAGAGAGACTGTGGCTGTTTAGGAGAGAAACTCAGTGTTTTCATTGCACTTCATCACTTGATTCTGGCTATCGGGGACCTCATTCATCCACAGAAAGTTAGTAGGCCAGTGATAAGCCTTTCTTAGATCAATTGTAGTGCACTTCATTGGCAAATTTCACTAGAATGAGTGATTTAGAAAACTGTAGGCGCTATTATTATTTCTCACATAGTGTCTGTTTTGCTCGGGCAAGAACTCGTATTCTCATAACAGTTTATTGTTGTCGTAATAATCACATTCTAATAGATTGTTCTACAAAAATCTTACAGCTAGCATATCTCTTATATCGATGGCAATCTTTACAACCTGAAACGTCTATTAGCAACAAATTTTAACTTCAATTTACAAGTCATTTTGAAGAGCATTAATGAATTTTACGCATTTCAGGTACAACTTGAAATTTGAATTTTATAAGAAAGCGAAGACCACAACAACGACGAACGACCGTGGGTAATCGACTCAGAAAAGACGAAACGCGTCGAAACGTTAGCTAAATAAATTTATTTTTGCAAATAAACTTGGTGCTACAGACTTGATCAACAAACGACAGACACACTAAACAGGTTTCTTGAAGATCACGTCGAATGAAGGCGATATTTGAATATAATAACAGCTGCAGTATATCGACTAAAAACAAGACCGCAACAGCGATATTTCGCTCATGCAATATGAAACCTCGAAAAAGCTTCAATAAAAAGTCTGTGGAAATGTTTACTCGGCAACATAAAATTTGTATTACCAACGTTACTGATGAAAACCATCTTAGGGAATCTAGGTGGAATTACTAAATCTTAAAGAGTCCCAACTCCTCTCCTATCCCCCCCCCCCCCCCCCCATCCCCCATCAGGAGCAAAAACATCTTCAACATAGGGAACGTGGAGAACGATTTTAGAACAGGAGTCCCGTTAGTGCAATCGTTATTCGCCAGCGCAAAGGCTGAGACGTGTTTTCAGCCCTTGTCCGTGGTCCAAGGCTTCCTATACCACTCACCATTCATGGGTATACGAGTGGAAAATTATGTTTTTATAGCAGTTTGCAACGCATGCCAGCAGATATGAAGCTTGAATTCTTGCTAGTGCCCTGTAGCAACTAACACCACGTCTTCATATTTCGAAATCCTTTCTAAAGCGTAGATGACCGAAGATAAGATTGTAAGCACTACAGTCATAAGCATAAGCATATTTGTTAAATACATATATATAATAGAGTATACTTGAAACTTGAACACATTTATCAAGATTTTCTGGATAATCTCGAACAACGAGAGCCTTCAAAGATCCTCCAGACAGGTTTGTGTGATTAAATGGCAGAATGGGCATGTTTGTCGTTTCGGTGAATCAATCAAATCAAATCACTACTTAAAACACAGGTTGAAGTTCACTTGAGAGCGTAGAACTCGTAAAGCCAGGGGCCATAAAATAGGTAAGGCAGGAGGGAACAGTGGACTGAACAGCAGGACCTTTCAAAAGGTGGATGTTCTAGATACCGTTAGGTTGACCGATCTATCTCAATCTACCTCTCACCAGAATAGAGACGACAAATTTCATGTTGCTACATAGACATTTCCTTAGTAGTCGCATTAAAACGTACCTTTGCGTAGTCTACACTTTTTGTCTCGGGCTGCACTCGAAATCAGCTCACTTTATCAAATTTGAAGAGACACAGCTTTGATTACTTTTTCAGCTTCAATCAGTACAAGGGAAGCCATCAGAATCTACAGATTTTTGATAACAAGACTGAAGCTCTTTTATTCTAACATGAAATTTTATTTCTTTGTAGCTCACATAACGTAATTTCTCTACCAAGGGCCGTAATTCAAAGTATAGAGCCAAGGAACGAGCGAGATTCGTCTAGCAGGGCTACGTTATGTTTCACGATCTGTCTGTTGCTGACGTTTGCAATTCCAGACTTGTTTTCAATGTTTAACTCTTGGAGTGCAAAGCCTTTTTTGCTCTTTTCTTATACTTTTACTAGTTATTTCACAGATAAATCTCGATTTTCGTCCATTTTAGTACTGCACTTGTTTCTAGATGGGCCTGGCTATCACGCTGTAGCAGCCAAGAGTATAGTATAAGGCTTCAAGTTCGGCACGATTTATTTGTACGGTTGGTGTCTGTGCTTAATTTTTCACCAGATTTTCAACATTTATTCAATAGCTTGAAAATCAGAAATTTAGAAAGTGAGCTTAAATTTTGGTAAAGGTCTTCATAGAGCGCTGCAAAAACAAAAAGAAGATTACGCTCCGCACTCAGAGATATATGCACTAAAATTAAACGTTCACGTGGAGGAAGTCAGTCGTAGTATATCAAAATATTGGAGAAATTGAGAACTTTTTGAAACGGAGAAAAAACTCATAAATAAATAACGAAAATCGAGCGCCTCTCAAATTTTGCTGCGCACAGTGACTCAACTGTCTTATATAAAGGACGCGATTTTCGTAATTTATTCAGATATTTGTTTCCATTTCAAAAAAGTGCAAAATTTATTGCATCAGAATTGTGAAGCGACTTTTTCCTATCGTATTACGTGTATCAGCTTCTTATTTCCACGCTATAATGTTAAGAAACCCCGTGATAAAGTTTAAGAGGACGGGTTAACTCTTCGAGTGAACTTTAATATTCTCTTTGCTCTTACGATGAAGGCCCTTTTGAAAACGAAATTCAGCTCTAGAACCTTGGAGATTCAAGGTATCGAAGGATTATTAACAGTCTAGAGAAAAGCCGCCCACAGACTCTTGCCGAGCAAACATAGCACGCGAAGGTAAAACGTAACTTCCTCCTGGATTCTACAATGCACTAACAAGGCATTTTCAGAAACCAAACACAATATTGAAGTTGCCGTTTTCCAAGCTATTCAGACACTACAAAAGATCTATCGAAAAAGCTTTATTGGGCGAAAATTTCAGAAAACGTTGGAATTTCGCAGAATGCACGTCCTTCCCAAAGAATTAAAGAAGCATAGTATGATTGACATTTGCATGCATTAGCATGACATAATAAAGCAACGCCATGTTAAGTCTCACGAGAGAACAAGGCGAGACTGGATGTGAACTTTCTATAGTCTGTGTAGAAAGGTATCCTAATGTCCATCTGAACGATGAAAATAAGACCGACCAGTTGCTTCCCTCTACAATGATAATGCCTTTGAAGCATAACAGACCAGAACAACCAACACACACCGTGTACCGCATAGCAGCCACCATCCTAGAATCGAGTCAGCTCAAAGTTCTATTGCACTCATCCCATTAATCGCATAAATGAACTTCCAGACAACGCATATGAATCTAAGGACTGCATTTAGATCAAGCCTTAGCACTTAGCTTCCACAAGAATCGCATCGAAACATTGTAATACAGTAATAGAACTATGCTCTTGTTGACATTTCATTGATCCATCTTCACAATGTTCCCTTTTCCGCTGTGCGGATCCCAGCACTTCTAGCATTCATTTCATCATCTTCTTCTTCTTGAACGCCGTAGTATACTAACTGAGCGAGCCTCCTTGCAATCTCGAGCGCTCGCAGCGATGACCATCACAACCACTCAGCCATGGTACTCCCATACCTTACTTAAGAATTAACAATTCTAAGCGCTATTCCACGGAATCAACAACAGGCAACTGTATTATGGCTCAAACCAGCGCATCGTAAACACTTCGATATCCTCTGAATTGCCATTTTGTACACTGCTCGGGTGGCATATACTCGTAGTTTTCGCCGCTATTACCACAAATAAACAGAATGAAGATATAATCAAATACTTTATAATCGGTAATCTTAAAATAGCTAATAAAATTCCAGTCCATACCATGCAGCTTGTTATGCTACTTGGAATACTTTGAAGGACCCGTATCATAGTTGAAGTCATAGTAGAAAAGTTAGTTACAAAATGACATGATGACATTTAGGACTCGTGTGATTCAAACGTACATTCAATACCTATCAATATACTTTGATATGTGAGCAATGGGGGATTATGAATGCAACGATGAATACCACTTGAAAGAACAGGGTTTTCACAATCATACAACTAAAAAATGTGGAAGCAATGCACACTTACGCGAAGCTGTCATGTGAAAATTGTGGAAATTTCGATTGATTCAAACACAGTGGATTAAATATGATGGGATCACAAGACTTTATAGAAAACAAGATCAAATATCCTATGTGAATGAAAGCAAAAATGAGGGACAATGAGGAATAAAACGCCTATGTCCAATGAACATTTATTTTTATAGTGAACCCGTTCGATGACTATATCAAGTCACGTATAGTCGATGAGCTAACGAAGTCAACGGGGACAGTCGACGATGCAGTTCGCTGAGGTGTTAAAGCAGTAACATTCACGTAACTCGGATCGGAAGAAGTCTGAAAGTGAAGGGCTCAAGATATCTAGTGTTTTTTCATGATTTTTCACAGTGCTATGATTCCAAATTGACCTAAAAGAATTGAGTGGTGAGCAAAAATTCGACCTCAGACGGGAGTTAAACCCGCGTTCCAGCCATACGGGGGCGCGTGCTACCACTACACCACGAAAGCGCGGTATCTCCACTGCCCTCCGCGTGTGGGTGAAACGCGGGTTCAACTCCCGTCTGAGGTCGAATTTCTACTTACCACTCAATCCTCTTATATGAAAGGTTTAGGGTTTCTTTATAAACTCACTGGGAGAAGAAAACACATTGAAATGGTTCAGAACTCCATTAATTATTGTGTCCTAATTCTCACAAGATGGATTGTTTCCGAGGATATCGCTCTAAAGTGTCTGCAAATCGAATATTCATCACATGGCGCTTGAACCTGACGGTAGTATTCGTTTTCTTTATAACTGTGATAAGAGGAGGCAATAGGATATCCGGCTGCGCGCAATAGGGGATAGAACATAAATTTTCACCGTTGGACGATGAACAACTTCTCCACCAAAACAACAGCTATCTTAGTCACTGAAATTACGTAATCGACAAGAATTCCGTTTACCTCCACTTCCAGCGGTGGTATGATGTTCCAGATATAACCAATGATGATGAGTGATGGGCAAAACGCTGACGTCAAGCGGGAGTCGAACCACCATTTTACACTTTTCGTGAGTGCGTGATAAATTTATTGCACTGCCGACGCCTGTTTTGCCAGCTCTCTTTATACGCTATAACGCATCAAACTGGGCATACCTAGAAGATTATACTACCACTAAAAGAGATTAGATAGAGAGAATTCTTGTCGATCACATATATCGAACACCTTTAGCATATCTAAGATCAAAGCCGATATGCGTTGCCAAGCCAAATCGTTGATAGTTGGCTGCTGAGAAGTTGATGCATTACAACGTAGAAAGAGTAGAGGGAAAACAGGCTTCGGTAGTGCAAGTGGTTGAGCACGCGTCCCTTGTGAAGGGTGAGATACGGGTTCGAGTCCCGCTTTACCCTTTCCTGGCCTATTACTCTCATTTTTCTCGTCACATTCTGGGAATTGAAAAATTGAACGACTGCCTCAAAAATGCGGTGGAGTTTCAAGAAGCCTTTCTCGGATTCCATGACATTTCGGTTAACACAAATATCGCGATTTAGTCGCACGCTCAATCTTGATGGTCGATCGGCAGTAATGTGTCAACGTTTTTGCTAGTGAAGTTAGTGAAGTACAGCCTTTTTAAGCCGCAAATTAAAGATTTGTAAGATCGAATGATAACGCTCTTGGACTTGATCAATCATAGAGAGATGCGCTATGCATCGTCTTCATAAAGCACCATTTGAGGTGACTGAATACATATTTGGCCTTCACTACGACTCGTTAAGGCCTACCGATGCACCAAGTCAGTAGTGATATTCTCCCAGACAGATCTCGCACCGTTTCACCGACTCAGGAAAGACGGGAGGCTTGGTAAGCCTTCAACGTGGGATCGAACCATTCACTATCAATTGATCGCCCGTTGTGCGTCGCGGCGCACCTCTAACCACTGCACTACATGCACTCTCATGAAGATTTGCACATAATTAAGATATGGAAATTTTTCACTTTAACACCTCAATGGGTGGGTTTCTGAGGACACAAACTGATTTTTACCCTGAGGACTGAACTATTTCCCATGAAGTTGCTCCCACTATACCATATCGTTTCTGTTTACAAAAACGGTAGGAAAGAAACTCTGATGCGGACTTTGATAAGCCGTCTTTCTCTAGAAGAGCATGGAGCTGATGAAACAAAACTTGGCAAAAAAAACTCACCAGATACCTTGCTTGAGCAGGAGTGGCAGATGGCCTGAGAGGAAGAGTGGTGGAGGCCCTATGGGTAATCCCATCAGTTGCGAATTATTTGTTGTTGCTGCTACTGTATGCGACGTCGCCTAAACGACTTACGTATTGAAGCTGACAGCATAAAAACAGCACGGAAATTCAATTAAGATAAAAACAAACCTGGCGTCGAACTAATTTGAGACCTCGCTTAAAATTAATACATTTCTCACAGCATATTTTAAGCTTTTCATGAGGTCTGTTATTGCACTTATCTGATGCAAGACACGTGTTCGGCTCCTCAGTCTCGCAACTGGCACGGTGCCATTCGTTTCAGTCAGTTTTCCTGCAAGGGAATATACCCCCTATATGTAACGGTTTCGACGGCCGAACTATTTACATTCAGCGCACGCTGAAATGATCACCTTAACGTTCTTTCACAATGATTGATTGTCCATATTATATATGTATATATATGTATATATATATATATATATATATATATATATATATATATATGTAAGAGCGAATGTGGCGCAGTGGTTAGAGGTGTTCTGCGTCGCACAACGAGGTCAATGGTTCGATCTCGCGCTCATGGCTCACCAAGCCATCCATCCCTCCGGCGGTCGCGTAAACTGGTACCAGGCAGGTCTCAGACTTGTCCGGGAGGATAAGCAGCACTGACTCGGTTAAAGCGGGAGGCCACCGCGAGTCATTGTAAAGGCCAGATATGCATTCAATCACCTCAAACGAAGTTAAAAATTGAGTCGAATGCATGGCGCCATCCCTCAGGGATTGATCAACGCCGAGAGCTTAATCCTTTTATCCTTTTTATATAGTATATACATATATACATATATATATATATATATATATATATATATTATATATATATATATATATATACTTTCCAGGGAAAATGAATCACTGTACAAGCACCCCAGTGGAAGGGGATATGTAATAAACCTATCCGCGGTAACGTCATCACTTTTTGATCACAAACTGATTTCTGCTATATCCAGTTGGCAAGCAAATAAATAAATGAGCAATTTTAAACCCTCTTGGGGACGTGTGCATCCAAAAAACAAGCTATTTTCTGGAGGCCTTTCTCACTGAAAAACACTTCGCTCTCGGACTTTTAGCAACCATTCAAAAGCTTGGATCTCGGCGATTTCAATGATATGCTTAGTTTTTGCAAAACTTTTCTTACTGCGTGTATTAGCGAATTTAATATCATGCTGCACACTTTGATGTTTGCTCAGCTAGGATCTGGGGTTGGCTCTACACAGGGCTTGGTCTTCATCTAACTTAATCGTCATCTGATAGCTCAAATCTCGACGATTCAGAAGCTGAAATTGATTTTGAATAAAGTTTTCGATGGACGCTGTAGGAGCTAAAAGATTATGTTTCGCACTCAGAGCTCTCCTCATACAAACGAATCGAGTTATATACGACCCAGCAGAGGAAATCATGGAGTACTGAGCTAACCAAAAAAAAAAAACCAGTTTTTTTTTTGTAAGATAAAAAACCTCAATTGAATGGCGAAAGTCGCGTGCAGGTTAAGAGCGCTTTGCAATCGATACTGTACCGAGCAAATAAACAACATCAACAATTCGCCGTTATTATGCATATAACACCTCTCTAGCCCATACAAGCTTAGCAAAAAGTAGAAGTACAGGAGTCTACCGCTTACCTCCAGCATTTCCAATCCGCCTAGCATAGCAAATGGATCCATCATAAATTCATCATACGGTCCATCTCTCAAAATTGACGTTGGATGTGCCTAAAAGGAAACAAGCATTTCAAACCACGATATCTTTCTAAACAGTTCACCGCCTCATCGGGCTGGAGGGGTTCCTGGGTGTCGAGCTGCGATGTGAGCAGGAGGTTCAACCCCACCAGGGTTAACCAGGCTGAAAAAGTCCGGCTTCTCCAATCAGAAAGCCTAGTCAAAAGCAAACCGTTTCAGAAATGTTCGCCGTCATGGCAATTACTAGTCGTAAAATGGTGATCTTCCTCTGATCCACAAGAGGCCGGCGACCGCTCTAATATGGTGATAACCTGAGGAAGCCTCCGTTAGGCTTATCTCAGGACTTCAGAGAACAAAACAGCTAAGCCAGCACATTTCTACGTACTGGAGCCCGCACATGCTGGCGAAGACGGACCGTCTAGATATCCAAGTAAGAAGCGATTTTATGATCGCTATCAGTGTCGATGAAACCAAAGGTTCCAGAGTTCTTTCGGTTAAGAGGGGAAAAATGTAAAACTAAACCTCACTGAACAAGATCTTTTCATACACATGTTAGTAGCCATTCGAAAGCTTAGCTTTCTGGCTACAGACCCACGTTGCCGGTTTTTTGAAACATCCTTACTATAACGCTGTAGAATCCAAAATAAAACTGGGGCTGTAGCCAGGGATCTTAGCTTTCAAATGGTTACTAACACTCCTACGAAATAATTCATGTGCGCCGAATGAGGCCGAATTTTCCGTCTGTATAGTTATATCAGGAAAGAAGCGGCTCCAGGCAATAGCGAGGCAAAAGAATACAAAGTCTTTCGTCAAACCTACCGGTGAACGCTGGGATCCGAAGAAATCATCACCGCCGAACATTGTAGCAAAAAAAAAATTGCGGAACGACTTGCCCTGAAATTCGTGCATTCCACAGGTGTTTGGGGCTTTGATAAAAAAAGACAAGGTTCATTTCATGGTAGAAGAACATCGAGATAGAGAAGAACAAAGGAATAATCTAGTAACTAGTCTTTACTTTAAGCTTTCGCGATCGATGGTATCACTTAATCGGACGACTGCCCTTATTGAGGATCGATGGATCTTCTTGAATCTGCAGCTGACGTTTCGGCTATTACGCCTTCTTCGGAGCTTTACTATTTAGTCTAGGGAATTAGGGAAGGTTCATCGATCGTTAACAAGGAGGGATCGATCAATTAAGTGATGCCAACCGGGCGAAAACTCAAAATAAAGATTAGTTCGCGAACTATTTTCTTTCCTGTTATAAGAAGATATAAGGATAAAGGCCTCGGTGCTGATCAATTCTTCAGGGAAACGCCATGCATTCGACTCCAATTTCTATTTTCCTTTGAGCTAGTTGAATGCCTATCTCGTCTTTGAATGACTCGCGGTGCCTCCTGCTATATGAAGTCAGTGCTGCTTGTCCTCCCAAACAAGTCTGAAACCAGCCTGATACAAATTTACCGACCCCCGAAAGATGGATGGCTTGGTAAGTTGTGAGCTAGAGATCGAACTTTCATCCTCGTGTGCGACGCAAAGCACTTTAACCACTGCGCCACATGCGCTCTTTT